ACACACATACACACATACACACACACACACATACACACATACACTTCTGCTATTTAAATGAATGTCTTTTTTTGTTCAACAAAAAGAATCATTCATCTTTCAAATGTTTTCCTTTCCTTCTTTCTTTCTTTGTAAGTCATTCACCATTACTGTTATTGAATGCAAAGGAAAAAAGATATATTTGAAAATATGATAAATTTTATAAATCATCCCTTTACCTACAAAAAACTTTTCTCGCATTGAACATATTATTTTCATGCTTTCAAAAATTTACTATTGGAACTTTTTTTCCAGAAATTGAACTACAAATGTTGAGTTTAAATAAAAATAACTCTGGCAGAAAAAAACCTTCATCAGCGGGACATGAAGTGTGTCGTCCATCAGCAGTAGATAATTGTGAATTGTGAGGTTCGATAACGAGCCAAATTATTTTTTATCAAATCTTGCAATTTCAATGAAACCATGATCTGACCTTTATTGAAATACCAATTCAATTTTCGAAGCATTTTGCTAGAAAGTTGGTGTAATGTGCTTTATTTATACGATATATGATTTGTAAAGAACTTAAGAGTACAATAGATTGACATACTGCACTGATCGGTATATGTCACGTGAAAAGATGATTTTCTTGTCTATCCTTCACAAATATTCGCAGTTCAACAATCTTTTAAAATGCAATATGGTGGGGATGTAAGGCAGCAACATTTTGCATTGAATGTAAATACAAAAAACAAAGTGCACAAATATAGCGAGCAAAAGTGCACGTGAAACTTCGTTTTAATTTTTTCAGTAGAGCAGAAAATTAATATTAATGAACCCGAAATATCGTTGTAGTACTATATTTTATACTTTATCTAATGATTACACTCTTCCCAAATCTCTTAACTTTTGTTTTCTATTGGATAGTTCCAGAGATATTTAAAGATGGAAACTGGTAAAAAGTTATTAATACTCAAGCAAACAAAGCAGTGAAAGGCAAAATATGATATCATAATGATAAAATAATCGTATGAAAATAACTGGTTCATAATCAAACACAATGCTTAGAAACAGAATGTTGCACAGTAGTTCTTAATTAGCGTCATCTTTATCTTTCGTACCGTGTTTAAGCATTCGGGTGAATTCGACGTAATCGAACATACCGTTTTTGATCGGTGCATCGCGAAATAATTCATCCACCTGTAATCTTACTCTCTGAGGAAATTATGGTGGCACAATAACATAAATGTGATTCAATGAAATTTCTAGTCACTAACATATCCATTAAATGAACAGATATTTGGAGATGAAAATACTACATAGTATATGGTTTAGTAAGCATTAAAACATTGAATACGACTTCATTCTCATAAATGTAATTAATCATATATACATCATTTTCGAAATAGTTTTTCCTTTAAAAAAATAGTCTTCTTTTTCAAAAAATTTTTCTATTTCTTGAAACAGTTGTGGATAAAGAAAAAAATCTTGGAACACGTAATATGCACCGAAGTTAGTCGAATGTAAAAGATGTTTGATGTTTCAAAATATATGACTTTCAATAAATTATGATTGACTGTGAAAGGTTTTTTCAACAAGTAATTAAATAGATCTTAAGAATTACTTGCTCATCGGTGTAACGATCACCCATTGTAGTTAGTAATTCTCGAAGACGATCTTCATTCAGAAAACCACTGTTATCAACATCAAAACATTGAAATGCGTTTTTGATCACCTACACAAAAAATTATTTCAATAACCAATGAAAAGATATTTCTGTTACAATCTTCGATTCTGAGGAACGCATTTTCGTTATTTTTTAAAGAGTAAAATAACATTCGGTGTAAATGTAGGTTGTGAATGCATTCTAACTCAAATAATATGGTTCAATAAATGAAAACATGTCAACCAACATATTAGTATACAATGAATGATTCACGAACAAATAGATTGTTTTATGTACAATAACCTCTTCCGGATCCGTTCCAGTCAACTTTTCGCCAAATAATGTAAGAAACATAGTAAAATTGATTGGTCCTGGTGCTTCACTGATCATTTTCTCCAAAAATTCCTCATTTACTTCCTTTCCTATAAGTAAACTTTTCATTTATCAAATAATGTGAGTAAAACTTACAACACTGTGTATTTCGTCCACGCATTAATTAGCTTAATAATACAAACCTAGTGATGCAAACATATCCTGTAAATCTTGAACATCTATGAAACCATCACGATTCTGATCGATCATATTAAAAGCCTCTTTAAATTCCTAAAAATTTCATAAGTGAGAATCTAATCATTGTGGCTGAATAAAACTTCGAAAAAGTAATAACATTAGAGAAAGATACCGATTGCTAGAGACTAAGTCGATTTTTAGTGAGTTACGAAGCATAAAATATAGTAAGCTTACGTAAACATCAAAGAAAATAATAAACTGTTAGCTACATACGAGTAGAATTCAAACAAAAGACAAAATAAAAAGTGAACTAATAGTCAACAAAGTAAACCATTATTTTATGTAAATCTATACAAGTCAAATCCCAACAGATTATAACCTATTGATTTCAACCGATATAATCACAAACCAGCAATGACCTGTATTTGAGCTTGATCAAACATTGCGAAGACATTGCTGGTTGCTCGCTGCGGACGAGGCCGTCGATTCAGTGTCTTCCTGGATGCCATCGAAGACGTATAGCTTGCAGGGTCGGCTGCAATAGCATGAAATACATAATTTGAACAAAATCTTAATAAGCTTAACAAGTCAAACATATTAGCATGTTGAAGAATTGACAGTGTGTAAAGGACCTGTAAAAAAAGTACCATACTAGTGAATACAGCATTTCAGAACTACTATCGATTTCTATCACATTATGCTTAACATTACAGTAACTGAAAAAAACACTTAACAAGAAATTTCGGTCAAAAATAAATTTCAAATTTTGACAAATGAATTTATATTTCATTAAAAAGTAGAAGATAAACTACAGCAGCGAACACGAAATAATAAGCGTTCAGTTTACTAATTAACACTTATTCACTAATTACAGTTCGACAGGTGCGCTCCCTGTCGGATACAGAAAACGACAATTCCGCCAAACACGCCCCGATGTATCATCAAAGTGCAAATAACAGTAAACTGTGTTCGCCCAGTGTGAAATGCTTAGATCTCACATGGCTAAAATAAAAGTTTGGCTGATATCAATCGTAGAGGACTATGTGGTGGTATGGCCTAAAAAGCTTATTTGAAATATATAGCAGTGGAGAAGTAGAGAAGGAATTCCGCGATATGTCAATTGACATTGAAATTTTGTAAGTTTACATTACTTTATAAATTGGGAAGGCCTGGGAAATGTCGATAGGTAGAAGATTGTGCAAACTGACGATGGTAACTTTTTGTTAATCAATAAATAACCTTACCGTTTCATAGCTAATTCAATCATAAAAGCGATCAATAATCGATAATATGCAAAACTTTGAGCTTCGTTTTATTAAGGCCTTCTTTTGAGAGAGTTACGATTTGCGAGAGTTTCCGAGCGGAGATCTGCAAACCTTCAATGGGAGCAACCTGAAGATAATTGTATTAAATTCATGAATGAACAAAAAAGAAACAAATAATTGAATAAAATTAACCAACAAATGTGTGAGATTATTGAAATGATCACATATATCTCAGAATGCGCTTATTATCATATAACAATTGCGCTGTGATCTCGTATTTCCACACAATCAGAGGAATGCTATCGATTAGAGCAAATCAAATGTTCGAGAAAGATGAGTTAAAGAGAAAATAAATGGTGGAAATAAGTTGAAAGGAGTAATTATTATTTCATTCATAAATTATCCCTTGCCAAACAGTCCAACATCTGGCCGTAAATTATTCGAGAGTTTATTAGCTGAAAAAAAAAAACAGTATGGCAGCAAGAAGTAGAGAGTAAAAGATGATGATGGATGTCAGCTGTTCAGGAGCAATTGTTTTTAATTTCATTTAACGCCTGCTCTTAAAGTTACATAATCTTGTGAAATCACTTGTTTGATTTCCAATTGATTTGCAGAATTTTTAGTTTCATTGTTTAATTTGCAAAGCAAAATATAGTTATTATATTAATTGACGTTTTTTTTTTCCCCTTTAGGTCATGTAAAATAGAGGGAGAAGTTTGAAATTCGAAAACATTTTAAGTTTTGAGATCATAATTTGAGATGATACTTTGAAGATCTTGCATCGACGATAATTTAAATCTGTAAAAAGGTAATCTAACAAATTTGAAAACTTTTGAAAATCTTCAAAGCCTAGAAATTACTGCTTTCAACTAATCGAAAATTATTTCCATAAATGACGAAAGACTTAAAAGTGAACTTTATTCAATATTTTCGAGATTATTTTAGGAAACTGTCATTCATTATGATGATGATGATGATGATGAAAATTTTCTTCGCTATCATTTTTTGCATCTCTAAAATTGCACTGGAACTTCACGCAATTCCAACAGGCGCTAATCGTATTGTTGAAACCGAGAGCGCCCATGAAGATAAGTTTTCCTAGCTGTCATTAGTTCGAGTCCAATTTTTTGTTGAAATAAAAAACTCTCAGAAATACTAGATTAATATTTCTATTAAATTTTATCCAGAATATTAAAGTTGAAAAAAAAACCAATTGATCATTTCAACAATTCTCGCTCGGAGTGATGTATATCTAAGACATTTCCCTGTTTTTGCAGATTCCATACAACATGAATTAAAAACATTCTACAATAATTTGAATGAGGAGGAAAAAATGCAATTGAAAAAATTCGCCAAAACAAGCGCTACAAATTTCTCACTGATAAATGGTCAATTTTTGGATAATTTAAAGGTAAAATTTGCATTTTTTAAAAATGATAATACTGTTTGCAAAATTTTTTTTAAAAATAATTTCGAATTTTCTTATTTTCAAATTTTCCAAAGTAAAACCAAAAATATATTATATTACTTGTATTTTTTCACAATTGAATTATTTTAAGTGTAAATTGGTAAAAGTGATGAGAGATTATGGAAAAACTTCATTTCATTGCCATTTCTGTAAATTAAACAAATATTCCAGGGTGAAGCAGGTGAACTTTTTGGTAAGCTATCTGGTTTGAGAAATATAATCAATGCCAAATTGAATACTATGCAACCGGAAAGTCGGCTCTTCATTGAAAATGTGATTTTTTTGAAATTCCAATAGGAGATCTTGTAAATTTTATTTTGAATTCTAATAATTTTCAAGGATTTAAATAATTTGAGTTTTATATTTCAAAAATTTTGCAGTTATTACGACGATTTTTGGCAGCTTTCAGTCATGATGGTTTAATGAATATTCTTGATGCATTGAAAGGATTTGGAAAAGAGGTTATCGATATGTTCGATGGATTATCAAAACCAATTCAGGATGATATTCTCAACGCTTTCCCTATCATCGGGTCATACGTTACAAGTAATATTCATCAAAATTTTTTTCCCCCCATTTTCAATATTTTATCATTAAAATATATTTGCGCGTAATTGATAATTATCATTTTCAGATGACATTACCCGATTAATCTTGCGAAAGTTGAGTGAATTAGATTTAGTCTCCAGAACATCATCCACCCTTGCTCCGATCATTGATCAGAATCAGAAAGATTCGTCAGGAAATAATTTCCCTAATTCACAATTCATCAAGCATAAAAAACCTCCTGCAAACTTTGATGGAGAAGATAATAACATTCGTTATGCGACAACCACCACACATTCATTAATTGATGATGAAGAATTATCCGTTAAAAAAATTGTCGTTAATAAATAAAACTTTCTTTCTGTATTTTCTAAAATGTTTTCCTGACAACAACAATATGACATGAAATATTTAGTGGTATTAGTGTGATTATTTGGAAAAAAATCATTGTTTTTAAGAAATTACTGCATTAACCCCAATAGAAATTACTTTTGTTATTTGTTATCATCCTGATAATCAGTCTGCTTTTTTATAGTTTGAATTGCAACTATTGAACACTTTTCAAGAATACCTACAATTCTATTAGATTGGTATTAACCTGTTGTAACATAATATTATGATACGATCTCTTATTAATTTTAATTTTTTCAATGCATTTTCAATTTCAGTATAAAATATGAGAGAAAAAAAGCTATGAATAGCAACTGAACCACTGCGACTGCGACTATTAAAGTTGAAGAAGCAGCAGAAAAGAGGGAGAAACTGAACATTTTGTTAAGTTGGATAAATAATTATCCATAATTGCAACTGCAGCTCGATCACTGATTTTAAATTTACGAGTCATTTTTGTGCTTACTTTTATTTCCGATCAGTCGGTTAACTTTTAAATTATGGCCGCTCATAATTTCCAACCAAAGTATATTAAAAAGGAACAATAGACACTAATATATCACCATTTAGAAACGAGCTGTTCGGCATCAACAAAACTAAAAATCCTAAAAGCCACATTTGAGCAGCGGCTAGTTCAAAAGCAATGTTTCAGCTAGGCATTCAGAGTAAAATGGCAATTTGTGTTTCTGGCTAAAAAAAATCCACAACAATTTTGGGATTTCAGTTCAAAGAGAATCAAATGAGCTATTCGTTCATCTCCCTCTCTCTCCCTCTCTCTCTCTCTCTCTCTCTCTCTCTCTCTCTCTCTCTCTCTCTCTCTCTCTCTGATTATCCATCCTCCTAGCTATCACTATTATTTTTCCTGTTCATTGTATGACTTCTTGGAATCACTTTGGTAGTTGCCTTTTTTGAATTTAATAAATCGGTTACCTTCTCAAATTATCAAAGTTCTACAAAATTTTTTTCATTTTTAAATCTGACGAAATGCTACGCTATCATTGCATGGTATCACTGATACTGTTGAGCTGTATGAAATTATCAGCGTCTAAACCGGCTGGTAAATCGACCTCTAATCGAAGCGATGCTACATCTTTGGCTATCGAATTACTTGGTTAGATTTATGAAACACAATTTTCAGTTTCTCAAGTATTTAATTTTATGAGCTTGAATTTTTTGATTTTAGTTCTCGTTTCAAAAAACATTAGTCACAGTTATTTTTCATGAAGTTCGATCCGGAAACTTTACGATAACCTGTATCACAGTGCGATGGAATTTATTTCCAAAATCTTCAAAAAAGCCAAAAGACTTTGATGATGCTATTGAAAAATTAATAAGACTAATAAGCAAATTAAACGGACGGTCACACTGAAACGTCTTCGGTACCTCCAACGACACCAATTATTGGAATTAACGGAAATATCGGGACGAAAGCTTTAACAATCAGTTCTATTAGTGTAGAAAAATGCCTAATGAACTTTAAGAAATTTTGATGAAATTGTGAAATTGCGCACTATTTCAGAATTTATTCCATCCAGTTTGTTAACATTTTTTGGCGATCTGAACGATACGGATCGAAGTGCGCTTTTAGAACTGACCAAAAACATTTCACGAAGCCGTTTAACAGCTGATACTGAAAAGGAATTCCTTGAAGGCCTGAAAGTATAATTTCTCCAAAAAAAACATATCTTTTTAATTTTACTTTTCTATTTATTCCTTCATCAATTCCCACAGATCATTATTTTTCAACAATTTTATAAATTTCGTTCGTTTCTTTTTTTCTTGTAGGAAAAAAGCGAGAATGCCTATCAGAAAGTGGTGGGTGTGCAAAACTATTTATCACATAAAATTGAACGCTTAAAGCCAGAGAGCAAAAATTTCACTAAAAAAGTTAGTTTTTTTTTCTGTAATTATAACCTGAAAATTGCTCGTAGGAAATTTTGTAAAAATGAATGCCAAAAAATATGCATAATATGGAAGTTATGCAATTCAAACTAATTTTCAAAATGATAGTATTTTTATTTCAGATTAGTGATAAGTATGTTGCATTATTTACAAATCCACAAACAGCACCAAAAGGAACATTCATGAAAATGAAATCATTCATAAATGAAACATTTAAAATATACGATCAGTTGAGTGAAACAGCAAAAAATGATCTGAAAGCAGCACTTCCGGAAATAGCACAACTGATTAGAAGTATATGCTTATCATTTTATTTGCAGGAAAAAAAATATCAAAAAGGAAAGACTTTTTATTAATATTTGAAATTTAAACAAATATTATTGAGATTCATTACCTAGTAAATGAATGAACCGCTATAATTATTGCTAATATGAAGGAGAAATCCTGTTACTTTTTTAGATCCACGATTTCGGGATTACGTAAGACGTGTATTTGATAACGCTGACGTGAAAAGAGCATTCAATCGAGCGGATAGAATGATCAATCCAAAACAATAATTTGCAATATATCATCTGATCGATACGTCTATTTTTCGTATTTCTTTTTTTGAATATTTCATTTCAATTAATTAAAAAAAAATAGTGAAATTTTTTGTGTAAAATGAATTACTCGTTTGAGGGAATCAATATACAGGGAGTTAAATTACTATTAGTTACAGATTTGTTTCGGATAAAATTAATTAATTCTGCAAATTGGAAAACGCAGAAAATTTTTTCATATTTAATCAATTTTCATTCGATCTTTTTCTTTTTGATTTATTCAGTCATTTTTTTAAACAATACGATAAAAAGAAAAAATCTTCATTTGCCTTATTTTTCTATCATTTTCACTATGTGAGAAATTATTTGTGATCTGAAAGATTGCTATAATAATTTGGTGTTAATGCTTTAGTAGTTTGGATTCATTTATTTGAAAATTTTCTTTGTTGATATTTTCATTTCAATTTCATTCTTCAATAACAATTTTATTATTTTTCTAATGAATGATTGATTTTTTTTTCGTTTTCAATACATTTTTAACCTTTTCAATCCTTAATTTTCAGTTCAATGATTGGAGGATCATCGTATCAGTTACGAAATATGAAACCTAATGTATTAATTGATATAAAATTTCTCTCACATTTTCATAAACATTACAAATAAATAAAGAGTGAGAAAGAGAGAAAATATAGGGGTGAATTAATAAAGAAATAAACAAACATGAAATTGAAAGTCAATTAAAATGACCAAAGTGCATGGTTATTTGGAAATTCTAAAAGGAACAGTGTATTGATGTTCTGAAGAAGAATCTTTTGACTAATTTATCACAATAATTTTAAGGAAAATTTTAATTTGAAATAGCCAGCACAAAAATTTTTGATTTTTGAAGTTATCAAGAAGGCTTTCTGCTACATGTTTTAATATTCCTCAGTTGTTATCTCTTACATCGAGATCGTTCGGGATTTCATCGAATAATGATATTAAATTAATGGATAACAGTCATCTTGTACAAATGATAATAGCACTATTTGCTATTGTTTAAATAATGATTTCTAATCTATTATTTGTGAAAATTCTTATGATTTGTTGCTGACGGAAACACATAAATGCAAAACGAGCATATACCGATTATTACCTTCCATATTTCTGTTTCTCATCATTTCATATTTTTATTTTCTAAATTTTAGTTTTGTTATTTAAATAACACAAATTCGAATCATTACTAATGTTAAAAGATATTGGCTCATTAAATTTTGAAGTGAACCGAAATCGAAAATTTTATTATCCCTCCTTTAACTTTTTATTGGAGTATTTAATCTGCAAATAATACTTTCAATTAATATTGTAAAAATAATGCCGTCAATATTGGCAAGAAATTTGTTTGCATTCTGCGGTGGAAAATCAATGAATTGATCTTCAAAAATTACGTAATAATTATAAATTTGGAAAATTGACTGAGAAGACGAATTCTTTGAAAATTGATGGACATCTGAATAAAGTATTAAGTGAGTTAATTGAAGAAATGTAATTTATTGAATAAAATTCGGTTATTAACGTTATAACTAAATCTAGCATAATGAGGCTAAGCAATAGGTCATAGCAAATAAAAAATCTCATGTTTTGCTTATTTCTGAATAATCTTTAATTAAGTACTCTTACATGTAATTGGGAGACCATTTAATTAAAGTTAATACTATATTAACTTTGTGGGAGAGACTTTCTGGTTTCAAGCACATGCCACTTTTTTTAATCTTTTCACTTTTTTTAATCTTTCAACAAAAGCAAAGATGTAATAGATCTCAGTGATTTTACTTCTAAATTTTAATTGAATTAAAATTCACATATTGTGAAAAGCTATAAATAAAATAAAAAAACATTGGTCACATAAGTGATAAATATGGTAGAAATCGCAGATAAGATTGGAAATATGCTAAATGAAAGCCAAAACAGTCATTGTAAATCATTTAAATTTATAAATTCATAATTTTTTAACTAATGAATAATTTTTTCGCATAAAAATTTTTCTTTTCTTCAAAAAATGATTGTTGGATGTTTTTCACTTCCACACCGATGGATATCTCAAAATATTCGCATTCTCGTACCTTATCGTTTAACTCTTTTCCCGAAATCTAAAAAATTTGATGAGGAATTTTCTCATTAATACCAATAATTTTGGGTGGAAATATTACTCTTTCTTGTCATTCTATCTTCAAATGTTAGCTAAAATTTTTTGGGTACCTTTTCAACTTATCAATTTTATGATTTTCCACAGTCTAACATTAAAATATTAGCACTAACACATTACAACTGCTCTACTGTCCATTCTTGACCACATTTCACTTCTAAGGCTTATCATTTCCCCGTAATTATGCATCCCTATTGCTTGCCTGTACAATCTATCAGTAACGTTGTTCATTCGGCGAAATGAATTTTGCAAATCAATAATGTTATTTAATTGATCATTTAAATTTTTAATTTTAATCATTATTGACAATATTCGATCCGTTCACATTCTTATTTATACTGCTTTTTGTTGTTACATTCCCCTAAGAGTCATAGCAACAGCTGAAATTTGCTCGTAACTCTCGTAGTAATCCACGTCCTTTCACGGACGAGTACTCCGATAGTATCTGTGCTACCACCTAATAACGAATTTGATTTTTTCATTTCGTCACTGGCAGAAAATTTTAAAAATGCGGGTGCTATTTTAAATATGCATTTATTGGAATTGGTGTAGAATGTACATTTTTAGGATTGATGAATTTAGTTTTTTCACTCGAATTTCTCGTAACAAAATATCTTTCTTTGAAGATTGAATGATCGATAGGAGAAAGGATGTTATCAGATCTTTGCTACCTCTATATTTCATATTGTTGAAATTTCAGTAAATTTCCTAGTCTGATCAAGAATTTCAGTCTGATCAAGAATTTCTGTTGATAGACGTGAGAGTGATGTTATCTTCCAACACAATGACTACTTGTCTTTTGCCGTCTACAGTGCTTAAAGGAGTAGAACGAATGCATTATTCGGGTAGGAATATGCTGAAAGATTCAGTGAGTATCGTCGATCCCGAAGCTTATCAGATCATGCGAAAGGTTTCCTTCTTTTCTTTTTTTTTTGTTTCCTTTAAATTTACTAAACGTCTACAAAATTTTTGAATTTATTTGAAATTTCAGATATAAATTATCCAACTTTATATTTTTTGTTAAATAACGATCATGATACAATAAGAAATAGTGATTTGGAATAAATATTGTATTTTTGCATGCCTTGATGTATATTTCAAAATAAACGAAGTTTTTTGACTTTTTTCTGTGATTTTATAATTTCTTATTTTTAAACTGTTGCAGGAAAAGGAAAGGCAGAAACGAGGATTAGAATTAATTGCGAGTGAAAATTTCACTTCAAAAGCTGTTCATGATGCATTAGGTTCTTCAATGTCAAATAAATATTCAGAAGGATATCCGGGTGTCAGGTTCATCATTTCCAATAACTTTTCTTGTAAATGAGTTCTTTGGTTGATTTCGATTTTCAATCCATCGATTTCCTGATCTACTATTCAGCTTTATTTTGGCTGTTACAATGTCTTATCATTGTAAAATATACTTTTCAAAAAAATCTAAAAAAAATATGAGATGAATAAAATTTATTTTTTTCTATAAAGTTTTTCTGTAGATACTACGGAGGCAATGAATTTATCGATCAGATGGAAACATTATGTCAAAGTCGTGCCCTTCGGGTATGCAATGATTCTTTTTGCTTGCTTAAATCCTGTGATTTGTGATTTTTTTTCTTAGCATTCTTTTAACGTATAAAACTATTTTTTTTAATGTTAAAACTTATTGAAACAAATAATTTAGCTCTGTATGAAGCATCCACACTTCTAAATCGTGACCTTATAAAAATTTGTGTTATTTATTGCTTCAAAAAAAGTTCCGTGGTTGCTTCCATAATATGACTAAATGTACTTCTTAAGTATTATGTTGTATTGTTCTTTATGATAAACGGAATTTATTTTTCAGGTGTTTGGTTTGAATGACAAGAAATGGGGTGTTAATGTGCAAGCTCTCTCGGGTTCACCAGCAAACCTTGCTGTTTATATGGGCTTAATAGAACCAAATGGCCGAATTATGGGTTTGGACTTGCCCGATGGTGGGCATTTGACTCATGGGTAAATATATTGGATTAAAGAATTGCTGATTCTTTGCTGATACTTTAACAAATCAAGATTTTAGTCAACACTAAATTGAATAAAAAAAACTGACAATAACTAATTTAGGGTTTCAGTTGTCGACTCAGTACACTATCATTACACAATTTTAGTTTCCAAGTAATCAAATTCTAAATCCAATTTATCTGCTTATTATGGAGTTTCGTAGCAACTTTTGATCCCAAAGTCTGTTATTCTTCAAAATGAGATGGATTATATCAGAAATATTGGCAGAAGTTTATCAGATAGTATTTAATTCAAGTCTTATGTGGAACTATCTTCTATTACATTTTTTTAAAGATACAGACTTCATTTTTGCTTAACATCCAGAAGTTGCAGGTTCTTCACACCTCGACGAAAAGTTTCGTCAACGTCCTTATTTTTCCAGTCGATGCCTTACAAAGCTGATCCCAAAACTGGTTACATCGATTACAATCAGTTGGAGTACACTGCATTACTGTTCCGTCCAAATATTATTATAGCAGGTAAGTTCAGTATTTCGTCAATTCAATAACATGCTGCATACGGTCAACACACCGAATTTTCATATTTACCCATATTACAATTTCAAACACGCACTGAGTTTTCTATATTTTTGATTAATAATAAGAACAATGTTTGGTGCGATTTCAAAAGCATGATTTTTATAAAAACAGTATGGTAGCAGAATTGGAAGTTTTTTAGCTTTCAATGACACTCTCATTCTATAATTTCCAGGAACAAGTTGTTATTCACGCTTATTGGATTATAGTCGCTTCCGTGAGATAGCTGATAAATGTGGTGCTTATTTGTTGGCTGATATGGCACATATCGCGGGCCTAGTTGCGGCAAATGTGATTCCATCACCTTTTGAATATGCCGATGTTATTACAACAACAACTCATAAATCACTTCGGGGTCCTCGTGGGGCGTTAATTTTTTATAGGAAAGGTTATCATTTTACACGCAGATTTCCATTTCTTAATATGCATAAGTTAATTAAGTTCTGAAAGTTATAAATCCAAGTGCCATTTTTATAAATCCAAATGATTCCTCATGATGTTTTCTAAAATCAGATTATTTCTTCAAGTTATTGTTATTATTATTTTATTTAGTAGTAATTATTTTTTATTATCTAAATGGAATATTTTTTAATTATCAGAGGTTGAAAAATAAAGGAAAATTTGCTTATATCATTTTTAGGTTTGAAGAAAATAACTCCAAAAGGTGAAAAAATAATGTATGATTTGGAACGGCGAATAGATTCTGCTGTATTTCCAGGATTGCAAGGAGGACCTCATAATCATACAGTAGCGGGTAGATTTTTGAAATTTAATGAATATGTTTGAGATTCCTCATGATGTTTTCTAAAATTAGATTATTTTCTCAAGTTATTGTTATCATCATTTTATTTAGCAGTCATCATTTTTTATTGTTGAAGGTCAGACTTGTGCTAATATTTAATGTTTATTTTTTAATTATCAGAGGTTGAAAAACGGGAAAATCTGCTTATATTATCCATGACCCCTATTTTAGGCATTGCTGTTGCCTTACATCAGTGTCTTGCGGAAGATTTTGTTGAATACTCCAAGCAAGTTTTGGCAAACTCTCAAGCACTTGCAAATAGATTGATGGAACTTGGCTATACTTTGGTTACAGGTATCTGCTTGTTTTGCCAAAAAAGATCAGTAGCGCAGAAAGCATTGGCAAAAAAACACAAGCTGAATAATGTCGTCGTTAAAAGTTTAAGACATCAGATACTCTTTGCTATTTATTTAATTGGTGGTCTTACTTATCTGAATTTTATTCGTTTTATTCAGAGATCAAATATGTGATATTTTAGCTATTGTTTTTCTTTAGGTGGAACTGATACTCATCTTTGCTTAGTGGATTTGCGTCCAAAAGGTTTGGACGGTGAGAAAGTGGAACATGTGCTTAATTTAGCTCATATTATTTGCAATCGTAACACTTGTCCAGGTTAATGTTTTCAAATTGATTCATGAGAAATTTACTTTTATTGAAGGCATCGATACTAAGAGGTGCAAAACCATAAATTAGAAAACTCTGTCGAGTGTTGTGCTTCATCCAAAGTTTAAAACCATCGTGGCATGATGTTATAGCTTATCTTGGTTGCTCAATTATAGGAGACCAAAGCGCCCTACATCCGAGCGGAATACGTCTTGGAACACCAGCTCTTACTACACGAGGAATGAAAGAGAATGATTTTGTTAAAGTTGCCGATTTTATTCATGAAGGTATAGCTTTATGCAAACTCTGCTGCTAGCTGAATAGCAATTGCATTTTAATAATTAAAAAGCAATTTCTTTAACTTATTTATAATATCACTTGAATATTACAAATCACGTTTGCAGGAGTGGAAATTTTGATAAAGTATCAATCGCAGGTAGGTAAAACGCTCAAGGATTTGATAGCATTTACTAGCTCGAATGAACAGTTTATGGCAGATATTGATAAGTTAGGGGAAAAAGTGGAGCAGTTTGCTAGCCAATTCGATATGCCTGGGAACGATGATATTTAAAAACGAACAGCTGGCATTAATGCTGGATGTTTTTGAAATTTCATGCGACAAAAAATTTTGTTTTATGCAAAGTATCATAATATGATGATCTGAGTCTCATACATTCCTCATTTATGTTTTGATATTTTTTAAAATTACATTATTTACTTGGCTTTTTAAAAAGTCATTCATTTTGTAAACCATGTTATTTTGATTGAAATGGTTTTTTTTTTTCAAATTATCGTTGAAAGAATCTTTATCAGATATAATTTAGGTGCTAAACGATTGAATAAAATAAATTTCTTGGGACTAATGAATTTCGAAGTTACATACAAATTTACGTTATTTCTAAGTTGCTGATATTTTTTAGTCTGCACTTATTGTTAAAGTTATGTTGTAATTCATTATTTTATAACAGGAGCCTATTTCTCATCATTAATTACTCTGTAATTGTGATAATTTTTCACTTTTTCAGATGTTGCATTTTAATTTTTGTTGCTTTTCTTGATCATTAGTAAATTCTTTTTTTTACGTTTTTCCTTTACATATTGCTTGATTTTTCATTTATTTACAAATGATCGACATACACACGGAGAAGCATCAATTTATATAATAGAGAAAAAAAAGTTAGAGATAGATAGATCTTAAACTGTATTCCGCCCAAGAGAACAAATTAATGATATAATCTTTTTTGTTCTAGTTTTGATAAAAATTTTCTTGAAAATGTATTGTACTGTTTCATGCACATCAATTCAAAAATTTTATTCAAATTAGAGACAAAAATTCCGAAAATTGTAGAAGTTGCAGTACAATATATCTGCCAGAGAAGTAATCATGACGTTAACTGTAATTCAAGCTAGTTAATTTACTACAGATAAACTTCAAATAATTCCATCAGTACAATTACATCACAATAAAGTGATCGCAGTAATGCAAACAGACCTTGAACTAAATCTGGAGCAAAAACTTTGAGTAGTAATAATGGATAGCATATGTTTTTCGTCTGTTCCAGCAAAGCTTATCCATTACTCTCTTTCTCTCTCTCTCTCTCTCTCTCTCTTCACTTCCAATCATTGAGCAGTATCTTCAAAAAAATTGTTAAGTCTCTCATCTCTTTGTTTTGAACTGTTAAGTAAATAAGATCAATTTTGTAGTCTTAGCGAATCGTCAAAAGCCATTCTATAGTTTAAGTTGAAATTGATATTTTTGATCATACAAAAATGGATAATGATAGAAATGTGGAAAGCTGTTAGAGTTCAAAGATGATTGGTGATTCGATCCGGAAAGATTTTTTCTGAAAATTTCCACACTCTCCTCCGTCCTCGTTTCTTTTTCCTTTTCTTCATTTTTGTTTCCTAGACGGGAAACAATAAATTTGACAACAAGTAAATGAATCTGTGACGCATTTTTCCAACATTATTCGAAAGTTATCATTTTCGAATAATTGTCGAGAAATATTGCAATTGCACTGAAAAATTCCCTATTAATATACTTAGATAATATACTTACGTCCGTCATTTTAGTGCCATTACGTTGTTTGATATTTTAAACAACTGAAAAATGTTTGTTACCGTATTGCTTATATTTTTTGGAACGGTAAATGTTCAGTGCGAGAGGGAATATCAGACAGTAATAAATCCGAGTCAGAATCCATTTCAACAAGTAAGCCAATTTCCTTTTACGCCAATAAATCAAGGTTAAAGTTCATCAATGTATGGTATTATTTATTCGTTCCATCTCTTTCTCTTCGACTTAACTTTTCAGAAATGTTTGATGAATTGTAGAAATTGTTTTCCTAATTGAAAATTATTTTGTTCCATTGGAGATTGAAAATTAAATTTATTTTGCTTGAAAAAAAAAACATTTTCAGTCACGGAATGTCGGTGGTTCCATTGTGATTTCAGGAAATCAACAACCAATCGATCGAAATTACAGTCGAACAGCTATCGGTCACATTTAATCTTTTTTGCTAAATTTAAATGAATTTTCCCACTGATAAGTGAAAAGAAAATAAAGTTTTCATTTCTTACTTTTGCCATCTCTCTTCTTGCATTTCTTTCTTCAATATCCATTTTCATTTCCTATTTGTTAAAAGGTTTGAAAATGAAATAAAGGAAAAATTGAAAATATCTTCTATAGGATGCAATCCTGGTGATATAGCACCAACCGGTGATAACTGCACCGCTTATTATGAATGCATCAATGGATATTATAAATTGCGCTTTTGTCCAACTAACACATTCTTTAATCCAACAGTGAGTTTTTTTTTTTAAATCGATGAGTTCATGACATTTGAGAATAAAAATTCTTGTATCATTGCAGTACAGTATTAATAAGCAGATTTTAATTTTTAAATATTCAAATGAGGATAAACTTTTAGTTGAAGCGCTGTCATGCAGACTATGTTTGTCCCAATCGAGCATATAAATTGCCAACCTCTCCGTTATCACCCTGCAAGTATGGTGAATTACGGGCTGATGAAAGAAGCTGCGAAAATTACTATTCGTGCGCTGGCAGTGATCGTCGTCATTTCGAACGTCGAACGTGTCCTGCTGGTACAATATTCGATCGTACGCTGAATCGATGCATTTCCAATACCGCAGGAAACAAATGTCAACAATCAATTCAACAAGAA